GTAGGAAAGAGATTCTAGCCGAGTTTCTGTAGTCTGACCGCTTCGTCTTTGCGACATGAGGCCGAACGTGACCATGCAGAATATGGGCAATAATAATATCGGCGTTCTTTTTTAATTGCATTAGCAAGTTCTTGCAGCTCTGCTGTAGATGTTAGCCGTGACTGTTTAATCTTGAGGGAACAACTCATGGTACAGAATTCTCTTCGAAACCCAGAAGCAGCACTAAAACCTTTTCGGCAGCTGTCCCTTTTTAGCTTGCACGGAGGGAACTTCCCTTTCATGTCTTTCTGATCGAAGCACGCGTATGATCATGATTTTGGATCGGTTGGTGCGGAATACATCGAGTGAAAAATTTTTGGGAACGGTGTTTGTGAAAGTTTAGAACGCTCTGGTCTCACTAGTCAAGCTCGATCGCCTACCCATAGCGTCGGGCTTCATCACTTAGCTAAGAAGTCATTCGTCGTAGATGGTATGTGGTACGTTCAGAATAAGGATCGTCGTCGAGCCTCGTTTTTTCAGACTTGAAGGGAGCGAATACACTAATGATGGTCGTACGGCCAACAACGTTTTTTTTCAATTGCAGAAGAAGATTGCTCAACTTGATGTGACAAAACTGTGGCATGCTTTACAAAATGACCATTATAGATCTACTGAGATTTTACCTGGGGTGGTTATGAGATTGTCCTGAAGACGCGATAGCGCCAAAGTTTCTTAGGAGAACGATGATACGTGTGAATGTGTGCTTCCAATCAACTTGATTTTTTCGATTACCTGAGCAGGGGTCCGGGAACATTTCCCCGAAGACGGCGTCGCGCACGCCGCAACCACTGCGTATCGCAGGATTGCGACGGGAGATTGGAGCGCGCAATTTGTGAGGTAGGGAGTCCTTTAATTATTTGAATTGACTGACCGCTCCCTTCAATTCCAATGCGGTATTGATCGTCGCTAATATAGGAAGAGTCATTCTAATTAAACAAGTCTNATATACATGAAAAACAAGAAAAAGAAAGATGGAAAACGATCAAAACCAATAAAGACGAAAGGCAACCAACGAAAAATATTGCGTCATATCGACTGGCAGGGGGCGGGGTGAGTACGGTAATTGCAGTGACATTTGCCGCATGCCGCAAGGGAGAATGCCGCAATCGGGGAGAAGTTCCGTTACCCCATGAGCAGCATAGCAGTTGCATCGAATCGTTTCGTAAATGTTTTGAAAAGACAAAATACGAAGTACATTTGCATCTCCTCACAGCATCATTCTTTTAGTAAATTCTCCGGAGATCTTCGGTGGTACAATGCCCATGTTAGTGATGCCGCGCGGAAGACTTATGGAAAGTATTAGGTCAGAATGTCTTATTTTCATTGAAGAGGATCTCAATTACTAATGTAGTCTCTTTCGTTGTCCCGACACATCTCTAGCGATCCGGCAGTTTTTTGTTTCCTGAAGCCCAGAACGGTGGCGGCCGCGATCCGAAAAAGCTGGAGATCTCAGTTTCGAGTTCCAAGCGATCATCGAATTTTCTATCGCAAAGGTGATGTTTCAGAACATGAACAAGTGATAGTCAAACCAAGTGGGACCTGACGAATAGGAAGACCTGGGTAATGGAGCAGCACTTCCGATCCAAGTTCAGCAATTTTCTGACGAGACAATTCCGCAACATGCGGTCAAGCGCTTTCGTGAAAAAGACAACTATTTCTTCGCTGAAGCCGCTTCCTTCGAACAACATCGGCCAAACTCCGTGGCTGAGAAGCGTAAATCTCGGCGGTCACGGTGGAAGCTTCGATCAGTTATTCAAAGCCTTCCTTGAAAATCTCACCGATGACACATTAAAACCTTCCTCGAACGTAGTCCACTTCTCTGCTTGTCTCGAAGATGTTTCGTCACGAGGCACCCATGGGTTGGGATGCGATGACTCTTCTGGGTGCACCACGGATAATTTCAACAGCCGTCGATGTATCATGCCTTCACAGTAATTCGTGATAGATTGTAGCTGTCAGACAGCTTCGGACGACACTTAAAGATTGAAATCATATTTGCGTAGCACTTACAAGGGAGTGCTTATATATACCTGAAGTGCAGGTTAGGGATCGGTCTACCATAACCCATTGCGGAATCCTTCGAGCGGCGCTACGAAAGGATCTAGAAAGGTTTGAAGAGATGATCGAAACTTATTAATTAATCTAATGGATCCCTATCACATAACAGTTGACTGTTTATTGTTTGCTTTTTAATGAAAATTCCTCATCTAAGATTTCAAGGGAACATCATTCTATTCTCTCCCCTTCTCTACGGCATTTTTGCTCGAACAATTCGAGTAAGGCTAAGGATTCAGTAAGTCCCCCAGTCCAGCTTTTTAAACAACGTATGCGCAGCTCTGCGAAATAGCCATGACAAAAAGTGTTGAAATACTTATTGTACAACTTTGACCCCTGCTCGAGTTTTCACATCGAGTGCACTCAGGGTATACTTGAGCTCTGCAACACGCACAGAAGAAATCCATGATGATTTCTGCAGTGTAGAATTTTCTGATAATGTAATATGTCATCTCACTATATATAAAGCGCTAACCTTGTATGTCTATTTGCATGTCTGTCTGTCAGTCCGCAAAAAAGTAAGCGGGCGCATACTAACACGGGTGAGCAGCATGTCATGAAATGCGAAGTCTACTGATACTGTTTGTATTGATCTCACTAACCAAAACGGATCACTTTTAGATGTCTTCAATTGAAAATCGTAATCTCCCTTCTTCTTATCGTAGGATGGATCTAATCTGAGTCCTGTCAATCCGAGGGCAATCAAATCTTGCGAAAAGAGAGTAGGATGAAGTGACTGGGGAACTTCTGCAATGACATCAGGCATCATCGAGCACTCTGTGGTCACGGTATTAGCGCAGGAAACGGAGATTTCAGCGAGAAAGGCACTAGAGGAATTTCGTCCATAACTTTCCAATCTTTTGCCGTTACACCGCACTGCGAGTTGTGACTTGGTACATGGAGAGCATTATATCGTGATCTTCCTTATCACATGTATGAGGGAGACAGCAATGAGTCGCATTCGCTGCTGACAGTCGCCTGTGGCGACAGCGGAACAGTAGCGCTCAAACGGCCAAATTCTTTTTAAGCCGTACTTTTCAATAGTAACTCCTTTCCTACTGGATCTAATCATCCGAAATTTCGATATGTGAAGCATGGGTGTATTGTGAATATTTACGACTTTTAAGCTACAGTCTGATCATATTGCAGAGATCAAAAGAGCTTGTACTCAAAATCAGCTGGGAATACTGATGATGGCCTTGTGGAATTTCTTTCCTCTTTGCCACGCCAAAAGTGTACGAGCGCTAATGCCGAACTCAGTAAAAGAGAGAAACCCACATAAGTTGCGAATAACTGCAGACGTCACTAACTTTGCTTTTAGCGAAGTCTGCTACGCAACAAGCACCTTGCTCTTAGTTATTGATATTGCTGCTTTGTAGTAGGCTATGTGAAATATGCTTTAGATTTTGCCCCACTGAGAAAAAAGTAAGCCGAAGAGTTTTGAGCGCTACTGTATATCCGCTCGAGCGGTGGAACCTTGGTAGGTTATGCTTTGAATTAAGGGTTCTGAATTCGTCGTCACATTCGCAAGAGGAGGAATGCGCTCTACGGATGCTGTGCAAATCATCTCGTGTTGCTTTAGGCCTTTGAAGAAGACGATAAGGTTCAAAACGTTAGGCCATTGACTTAATAAATTGTTCCACTAACAACATCGCACGGCACGAGAATATTTTAATTATCAGCAACTCTGGGCTGTTTCCCATACCATCCCTGAGACTCGTCGTATAAAATTCGAACAGACTTCTTAGTGTACTTGTTTATCACGGCTACGCACTTAAAAAAACTCCTAGCTCTTAAACTATTCACTCTTGATGCGTTATTTCCAGGATAAACTAAGTGGAACTTTGGATGAGGCAGCACCGAAACGCGGTTATCGAGAGTGTTTCAATATTCTTCTTGAGTAAGACTGCAAATGAGCGGTTGTGGACATGTGATTCATATGTTAGCGTGAGCAGCCCAAGCGGTAGAGGATAAAAGATAACGTCTCTGGGCATTGATCAATTCCACTTGGTGGAAGTGTCCACACATTCGACTTCCATTCAGAATCGTAGAGGCGTATTGAATGCGTATGTGCTCTACTCAATAACATGTACAAGTCAGTGCATTTATCCTCTCAGACGGATCTTAAATCAATAAAGCGATTCAAGGAGGATGGAAGGCCTAGGCGGATATTGACCCGGGATCCGAACCGGTAACCAAGTTTGAAGGTACGCCACTTGCCACTAAACCACCTCCGCTCAATGTAATATGTAATATACATGCATATTTATATGTGTACATGTATATACAAGCATCGCCTACCTATATATGTTTTTACCAAAGTTTCACATCAATTGAAGAATCGTGGAAGGAGGCTAGACTAAGTTTCGAATGATCGAATGCAAAGAACGTAGTCCAGGATGTGTGGGTCCTTGTGATTTGTGCTGAGTGCCGCTCGTCTTAAACTGGTGTGCAGTATGGGGGCCTCCTTGTTAAGATTTCTGCTGGTTCTGGTTTCTTTATGCCGAGGAAAATAGGCAAGGATTGCCGTGAGCGGAAAATCTCCTGGTCTAGAACCCCAGTAGAGTGAAAGATTTAGGGCAACCGAAAAAATAAAAGCCACTCATTGATAGTAACCAAAACAAGAGTTCATAACTCAGAGTTGAGACAATCTTGGAAATGTTGGAATTATGGGAGTGAAGCTATGGAAAAAGTGAGCTGCACTTTCCTGAAATGTGCAGAGACGCGTTAATAATGAAGGAAATAACCCCGTAATTGGGTGGCGCTCGTTGCAAAATTGAAAAATCCTGTCAGAGAGTGTTTGAAAAGCAGAAAACATAAGCGCTTTTGGTCTGGCTATAGCTCGAGGAATGAGTTAAAAAATAGATTTGTTTTCCCCCATGATACTGTGGTTTTTTAAAGCACCAATGCTGGTCAGCATATGCGATTACGATGAGCTGGTTGTTGGTAAGGTAGGCGATCTAAGGGTGGAGCCATAGGCGGTCAAGTGAAATTGCAAATCGAGAGAAATAAAAACTCACGCAATTACGAGAAGAGGTCTCGAGTTTCCGTAGAGTAGTTGAGGCCTTTTTTTCGCCGAGTCATGGATTTGCTTAAATGTTTCCAGGCTCTGAAGAAGGCTACCCCACCAAAACGTAAACCGAAATAAAGAAGTTCATCAACCTCGTCCGAGTTCGAGCAGAGATACCAACATTTTCACTATGCCGAGGTTAAGAGAAAGCCGTTCATGGCAATCACATGGGTAGTATCTATTCACGCCCGCAATTTCCGTAGGGTTATTTTTCGCCTAGATGGCCTCATTCTCCCAAAACTCCCTTGTAATAATAACCGATAATTATACAATTATTGGAATCAATATTGTGTGAAGCAAGCACGCAACAAATTACTCTACCGTACTGATTTGTATTGAAATAAGGTTCACAAAGTAAGAAATTGATCAGAGTACTATTGTTTCTCATTAGAGCTGAGAACATTCAACAGAAGTTGCTTACTCATTNNTTACTCATTCCTTAGCTGGAATTTTATGGGCAATTCGGTGGTGAACAACACTCACTAGAGTCCACTCAAGCGGCACCACTATATAGAGTTTTGGCCTTCCCCTTACCTCATGGTCAAATACACTCAAATCGTTAGCTTTTTTGAAAGTTGTTATATTCGCGTCGTACCTCCAATATTGAAGTTTGCTCCGAACTGACTCGACCCCAATCCGTTTGTTGCCCAGTGCATCATTGGTTGGCAGTGAAGCGTTTAACACATTAAGTGCCTGACGGCTACGGTCACTTGAATAACACTTCCTTGTTTACTAGCTGATGGCTTCACTCTTGTACTTCCTCTCACCGACTCGTTTCTCTTTCCTCCACATTGGTGCACTGCATTCATTTCTTGAAGGCAAAATTTTCCATGAGTTTTCGTTCCTTGGCTGTGTTTCGTCGTTGGCGTTTTAGGTGAACTTTGGTTGACACGTGCTCTCGGTCCATGTCCGATCGCATTGCAATGCTTTGCTGATTCTAAATGGAAACTCATTGTGTGGCGCATCCATAAGATGTGTAGGGATGAAAATTTTCAAGTTGAGCGATTTCACACCAAGAAGCCAGATTAAAATTCCCGAGAAAGGATCATAAAAATGTTGACTCATAAGAAGCTGTTTTGCTGGGAAAGGAGCTGCTGCACGTCCCACCAAATAATCGCGTCTTGCAGTAATTTCAGTATAGTACCAGGAGCAGCTACTGCGTATCAGAAGATCTTGCTTCCTTATTTTTGCATAATCTCCATGTCGTTTCAGAAGGTTTGTTGAAATTCGCACTTGATCCCTGGTTCCTTCCTATGAACGCGTCTCGGAATGTTGATGCTATCGGTTTTCGTTTTCGATGCAACTTATGGTGTCGATCAAAGGATGGGCATAATAGTATGTCAATGTGGGATAATTCATAGGGGTGGAGATGGTGTAATGGCAAGTGGTGCACCATCACCAACGCATGGGTTCGAGTCCCGGATCGACATCCGCTTAGGTTAACTAAGCCTTCCATCCCTCCAGGTTTTTTTTTTCAACTGGTACAGTCCTGTTGGGAGGATAAAAGCACTCTTTGTGCATCAGCTTGCCATTGCAACTCATTGTATGGGCCACAAACGCATCCAATACGCCAAAAGATTCTAAACAGAAGTCGAGCGCATGGATGGGCGCATCTCTCAGACGCTAATAAACTTTAACTTTACCCTCTTATGGACAATTCAGTATAGTCTAAAGTGAATTCGCGGCGAAACACGTTGTATGACATCTACGATGAACAGTGTACTATAGAAAGAATGCTGCGAAGCTTGAGATTTCAGAAGCCTTATCTGTTCTGAGCCCTCCATATGAGAGTTCGGTGACATATTGAATCGAAAACCAGCAAACGTGTAATTGTTATTTGCATTGTTTTGTAGCAAGTAAGGCCTTCTCAAAAACCAGCACTTCTTTTTTATACGCAGTAACGGATCGGTGAGAGGAACCTTTACATAGAATCTTTGAGCTTTTTCGATTTTTGCAATGATCAGCAAATCGACGTCCATAGATATTTCATCCACCCACAAGTGTTCGTTATCGTAAGGTGTTTCTGAGCCTATTTGTTCGATTAGCCCGTCATGGTAGGCTTACGTCTAATGCTTCTTATATGAGGTTGTTTACGATGGAAGAGAATCTAGGGTCATATAAACATCTCATGAAACTTGTACCTGGGTTACTATATGTACTTTCGCTACTCTCTATAGCTAGCAAGTCACTGGTGGCAGCTCTCATTTTAGATAAGACATTCTCTATTCATTTATTCATTTGTGAGATTACTTGTCAAGTGAATTCCGAAATCAAATGGAGCATATTGAGAAAAGGATTTTATATAATAAATTTTACTCATACAGTTTGTCCTCAGCGGTTTGAAGACCTTTTTGAGTCACAAGGCCGGCAGAGAGTTTCAATACTCCTGAGAGATATTTGAAGTATGATTTCGTAAACATCATGGTGCATTTTTAGTCGAAAAAAAAATTCAAAACAACATTTTTAGTGAAAATATAGGATTGGCTTTTCATCTGCAATCACCACCCAACTGGTAAACCGTTATTGCAGGATTCCATGTGCTTGACCGTAATGACCTTAGGCTTCACAGCTAGAATCTTATTTTCTGACCATCGTGACATTTCATGGCTCTTTCCTTCGCTGTTCCTTTCCGTCGGACTTTCCACTATGACACTCAAGCTACTTTCCTATTGAAAGTCTTTTTTGTTTTGATAAATTTACTGGCTCTGCTGAATTTCACCGCCTATATTTTCGTCATTTCCCAACTCTTCTTTCCCTAACCCTACCGCCATTTGATGCCTTGGGGTTTTTCTCCACTGTGTTTCTGTTTATTTCTCTTCTTTCGCAATGGAAATTTGATATATCTTTGGTCTCCTCACAGGCGAACTCATTGTCCTAAGTACAAGCGATTGATTTCTACAGGTCAATCACTTCAAGTTTGTCGACGTCGTTGTTTGCAATCTGTATCCGTTCCGTGCCACTATCGCCAATCCCAGCTGCACCTTGGAGGAAGCCATAGAGAACATCGATATCGGTTAGCTTCAAATTGCCCTCTTTTCCTTGCTTTCTTAATCATTTTCTTTTAGGTGGTGTGACACTGCTAAGAGCGGCAGCAAAGAATCACGCTCGAGTTACGGTGCTGTGTGATCCCAAGGATTACGAACGAATTCTCAAACAGGCAGGTTTCTGCTTATGTTGTGAAGTTTGCAGCTGAAAGGCTGTCATTTGTATGTTTAATTCAAAGGCCATAGATAGCCCTTTCAAAAGAAGTCATCAATCAGAAGGCGTCAAGGCATTTGTGTTTGTTGATCTCTTTTATTTGGTGCCTAGTTGGTCTCCAAGAAGCTCACCTTCTGATTTCAAAATTTCAAGGATATAGTATACAGGGGTGGTTGCTTTTTTTAGCTGATTTCTGGCATGAAATGGGAAGAATTTTTGGAGAATGTACCTAGAAAAAACACTTTTTGCAATTCTTGCATCTTCATAGTACCAGTTTGTTCCTCATTCGTGAAAATTCCGTAGAACAAGGCCTGAGATTAGATTGGCAGATGGACAGCGTACCATACACTCATGCTTATGATTCTACGGAGGTATGGTATTGCGAGGTGTATTGAAGGCACGTTCACGATGATTCTGCGGTACCGGCGGGAATGTAGGCTGGGAATAATTTAACGGTAGTAAAGAAAGCGAGAGAACTTGCCAATTTCGAGATAAATATGGCTCCTCATAAGTAGGGAAAATAGAGGTTGGACGAGATTGCCAAAACGGAAACCATGGAGGGAATATTCGGATGGT